TATTATTCTTTAACAAAGCTATTAAATAACCTGTACAATGCCCCAACCGGTCTTAGCGAAAACTGGAGCACTATTTCAAATCTCCCGAGGTCCTTCTGCTGTATTTAATTCAGCAGCGCTTCCTATATACAAGGCCAACCCAGGTGGTTCCCTCAAACTGAAGGCCTCCTAGACGGTGGGAAAGGTTCAGAGTCTGGAACCGCTCTGGCTTCACGCAGGACTCCTAACCATGACCCAAACCGCCCTGCTTCCAACCCTCCCTCCACAGCTACTCCTGGGAAGCGGGTTCCTGTGTCCAAGGACCGAGGAACCTGGGAGGAGGGCAGCGGAGAGGCCATCTGCAGAGCCCCCTCTCTGCCAGCTGCTCGAACCCCCCCGCCCCATCTCCGCAGAGATGCGGTCAAGGGGTCCGAGGCGGAAGTGGCCTCGAGGGTGCCCAGGGCTGGGTTCACAGGTCCCGCGGATCTTCCCGCTTAACACCGGCCTCGGCAACTTTGAGCTTCTTATTCTGGTGCGTCTTGACGTGCTTGGCGAGGTGGTCGCTGCGCATAAAGCGCTTCCCGCATTCAGGGCAAGCGAAGCGTTTCTCGCCTGTGTGAGTCCGCAGGTGCCGCTGCAGCTCGTCTGAGCGCGTGAAACTCTTGCCACAAAAGAGCCAGTTGCACACGAAGGGCCGCTCGCCTGTGTGCCAGCGCAGGTGCGCCTTCAGGTGCGACGTCTTGCCGTACACCTTGCCGCAGCCCGGCACGTGGCACACGTGCTGCTTCTTCTTGCCCGGCTCCGCCTCGGGGGCGCCGCCCGCCGCCTGACAGTTGGGGCAGCGGCAGCGGCGGCACCTCCTGGCCGTGGCCGCCAGGGGGGCCTTGGTCTGCAGCAACGCGGCGATCTGGCTTTGGTACTGCGCAAAGTCCGACGGGCCCAACACCAGGCCCCGTTGCAGGGCGGCGGCGGCGGCTGCAGCAGCGGCCGCTGAGGCAGGGAAGCGGGGCGCGTGGGGTCCCCCGGCACAGGCGCCAGGGAGGCCTCCCCCCGGAACCCCCGGAGCGCCCGGCCCAGCGCCGGCCTGCGGGATGCTCCACCACGGGAGGTCGTCGGGGGCCGGGTTGGGGGACAGCTGGTGGCAGGTGGGCGGCGGGGG